GCAGCAAATGAATCAATTTTTTAACAAGTTCGAATCAGTATTTTCAACACACAAATACGACCTGGGTTGTATTCCTGCTGATGTTGTTAACATTAAAATTGACCTTGGTCAACAACTAATTCCTAAATGTAACTATTATCGTCTTGGTCCCATGAAGAGGGAAATCATGGATAAAAAGATTGACGAGCTGATTGCTCATGGAATCATCGAACCATCAAATTCATATGGTGGCTCACCTGCGTTTCTAGTGGAGAAACCTAACAAGAAAGACTGGCGGCTAGTTACATCATTTCGAGAATTAAATTCATTAATGAAAACGAGAAGTTATCCAATGCCGAATGTGGACGATCACATTCAAGCATTGGCCGGTTATGAATATTTTATAACCGTTGATTTTGCCCAAGGATTCCACCAAATAGAATTACATCCCGAAGAAAGAGAAAAAGTCGCTTTCGTTATTGAAAAAGGTAAATTTCAATATGTTCGTTTACCTATGGGATTAGCTGATTCGCCTGCTTATTTTCAACAATTTGTCAACAAAATTTTTGGTAATCTACTTTATAAAAAATGTTTGGCTTACATCGATGATATAATTATATTTGGCAAAACCTTTGATCAATTACTTGATAATGCCGATGCAGTTTTTACAAAGATAAAAGAAATTGGACTTAAAGTGCAACCCGACAAATGTCACTGGGGACACAAAGAAGTCAAATTTCTAGGTCATATAATTTCGGGAAAAACAGTTCGACCTGATCCCGAAAAGATTGCAAGATTACAAGAGTTTCAACCTCCAAAAAATATAAAAGGCTTGCAAAGTCAACTTGGTTTGTTCAACTATTTATCGAAATTCGTACCTAATTATTCAACAATTGCATCTATTCTGTTTGAGCTCTGCTCTAAGAAAAATAAAAGTAAATTCGTTTGGAACGATAATCATCAAAAAGCTTGGCAGCATATTAAAAATGCTCTAATCAAAGATTGTCTACTCTGTCAATTCAATCCTGATGCTCAACATAAATTAATGGTTGATGCAAGTTCGATTGCCGTTGGTGGCATTTTACTACAATTAGAAGATAACGAATGGAGAGCGGTATCTTATTTCGGTCAAAAATTGGCTAAATATCAATTAGCTTATACGATAACAGAAAAAGAGTGTTTAGCTGTTGTCGTCGCTTGTCTTAAATATCAACATTACCTGTGCGGTAAACATTTTATCATCGTCTCAGATCATTGTGCTCTTTGTGCACTACCGAAAATCAATTTCAAATGTGTTCGATTACATCGTTGGGCTACAACTTTATCGCAATTCGATTACACAATTGAATATTCAAAAGGAGAAACTCATCCTGCCGATTGTTTCTCACGATCAAATGAATGGAGACATAAGAAAGTTGGAGAAATAAACGAAGATGATTTTTACAAATATTTACTATTTGCTTACGAGGTTAAAAGTAATTTAAATGGTCAAGTTAATGATGAATCATTTGGAATGATTCATCACAACAATTGGATCGATCAAGATCCGTCATCAATTAAATACAATGATGTCGATGATTTTCAATTAATGAAAAATACTAATAAGCAAGAGATGATTCTATTTGCTAAACAAATCGCTGATGAGATTGGAGAAAAGACTGGTCAACCCGAAATAATTGATGAGAAATTAATTTCTAAATTTATAATTAACTTGGATGGTGATAAAGATTCAACGGATAACAACGAGATTAAAAAGCAACAACAAAAAGATGATTTTTGTAAAAATATGAATAAACAACTGGCTAAAGGATTACTGGTTAAACATTTTACCTTAAGACAAGGAATTTTATATCGAAAAGGCAACAATAACAAAATTTCAATTGTTTTACCTTGTTCATTACAAGAAAAGGTTTTCAAAGAGTTTCACACAGAATCGATTGGTGGTCATTACAGTTACAAGCCTACGGCTAAACGAATCAAAGAGATTTTTTGGTTCCCGCAAATGGATGAATGGATTAAATCAAAAATCGCTAATTGTGAAACTTGTGTTAAATTTAAAACTAAAACAGTCAACGATCATAGACCAAGATCGATGCCGATTCCTGAGCAACCTTTGGAAAGGTTACAGATCGATGTTGTTGGAAAGTTTCATCGATCAAGTCAACAGAACGAATATTTATTTACTGCAGTTGATGTTTTCACTAAATTTGTATTTGCTCAAGCCTATCGGAATCAGAAACATAAAGAAGCAATTAAGTTTCTAAGCTATATAATTCAATTCATTGGTCATCCAATTACAGTCCAAGTCGATAATGGACCTTGTTTCCGATCCAAGGAATTTAAACAGTTCGCTGATGATAATAATATTAAATTACAATTTATTACACCATATAGACCTCAATCAAATGGTTTGATTGAAAGGCTAAACGGTATTTTGGGAAACAGAATCAACATGTTTACGGTGTTACCTAAAGATTGGGATTTATGGATTATGAATCATGTTTTGGCTTACAATTCAGCTTATTCAGAAGCATTGAAAACAAGCCCATTTTATTTAATGTTTGGTAAATTACCCAACACTCCATTGATGAACGAGTTTTCAATCCAGTCAACAACCCTAACAAATGATGAGCTTAATCAACTTCGTGATGAACACAAGCAACAAATGATATTGAAGCAACAGAATCGCAAAGATTTGACTCAACCCGAACCCCCTCCCTATTCTAAAGGAGATAAAGTTACACTCAGTGTCAAAATTCAAAACAAATTACGGGGTAAGAAACTAACAGCTCCTTATAAAGGAGAATTCATTATTCTTGAAGTCTACGATTCAGCTGCTCTAATTGTTAACAAAAAAGGTGACAAGAAAATGGTAAATTTCGAAAATCTAAAAAGAATTGGTGAACAAACAGAGATTGAAGATCTAACTAATTTAGAAGAATCAAATTCTGATTCTGAAGTTTCAGATGAAACAGACAATTAACCTAATTCATTCTCTCTCGTTCTCTCAATTTAAATAATATTCAAACTTATCATAAGTATGAATACTATCTCCTTTTCTCTCAAAATTTAATCTTATTTAAATTTCTCTTACGTTCTCATTCACATAAAGAAGCAATTAATAGACCTCTTTCATTTCCTCTTTCGATTAGTATAAAAGTCGAACGACTTTTATTTCAATTTCTCTCTCTCTTCTTCATACAGAGTTAGAAGATACTTAGGTATCAAAAGTCAATCGACCCTATCCACCTAATCAAAAATTAGAACCTCCTGTAATGGTCAAAAGTCTGTCGACTTTTCCATTCAACCTGGATTGTCCAAACGGCAACTCCTTATTCCAAAGATTAAGTGAAACGATACTTGATAAACCAACCTGAAAAAGAAAGCGAAACAAGGAACAAAATTTCAATTAATCAATTAAATTAACAAATTAAAAGTAAAACAAATAAAAAGACAACTTTTAGAGTGAACAAGGTAATCAGGAAATATCAAGCTATCAATTCAATTCAATCTTAATCCTTTATAAATTTTATTTCGTCATTTCTGAATGATGCTAATTCTATCGTTACTTGATAATTCCGAAGTTATCTTTGGGTCAACTAATTTGTTAGAATTAAACAATCAAAGTCAATCGACTTTAATCCAAATTCTAAATCAGGTCTAATCAACTAAAAGTCTTCTTTCTTAATTATTCTTTAAAAATTTAAAGAGTCGACCGACTCTTAATAGAACGTATACTTCCCATGTAAATCTTTGAATTTTCTCTTCAATTGAACCTGAAAGAAACAAACAGATACAAATTAAAATTCTTATAAAATGGAGTCGATATGATACATAAACTTACCCGAAGCTCTTAATGTATCAATGTATAGAATCTCAATACAATCCGAACGTTCACCTTAACCATTTAGAAAGAAAAAGCGAAAACGCTTTAAAAAGTCAATTGACCTTCACAACGTTGAAGAAATTAGAATCATTTCACAAATTAGATTTTCACTATTCAGATCAAAAGTCGATCGACTTTTGAATCAAATCAATTAGATGCAAATTCATATCTCAAAATGAGATTCAATTCACTTACTTGAAGAAGTCACCAAATTGCTCATCAACCCAAGCAAAGAACATTGATCAAAGTCAATTTCAAATCGTTCGTATCTTATTGAAAAATAGACCAATTCTCACAATTAAGGTAACATTAGATTCACTGAACAATAAATTAATCAAATTAATAAGAATCAAAAATTAAATCAAAAATTAAACTAATTAATTAATCAATTAATTAGGATAAAAAGTCAAACGACTTTTTCACCCTTCATTAATCAATACTAGTGACACCTAGTGAAGCTCCGCCTTTCCTCCCCAAACTGAATTTCCGTTTCCCTCCAAATTTATTCTCTTTAAAGACTCTGTCTTTTTCTCTGTCTATTTATCAACTCCCTCACTTAATTTTCTTCTTTCAACAAGAAAACAACAAAATTAGTTTTCTTTTGTTTTGTCTAAAAGTAAATCAAATTAAGTCTTTTAATTTAGTTAATTAAATTGTTTTGAGGAAAACAATTAAGTAAGTAAAACTAACAATTAGAGTCGATCGACTCTAATTTAGTTTAAATGAAAATTTAAAATTTTCTGTTAAGAGAATCTCAGCTCAACATTCAAGCTTAATCAAGCTACCGACTTAATTTGTTTTCTTTTCTCTTTCATTCATTCAGTGTCAATTTCAAATTTATCTCCAATTGATTATCTCTTACAATTAAAATTCTGGTTCTTCATTTTCTTTTCCCATCTCAAAATTGTGTTAACCATTTGTTATAAAAGTCGATCGACTTTTAAACAATTGGCTCTTCCTTTCCCATCTGATCTTATATTGAAGTCGACCGACTTCAAATTAAGGAAGATTATCCTTTACTCTTTGTATTGTTACCTACTCTTTTCCTTTTACCTTTAATTGTCCACAAACATATTGCCAAGGTTGAAGTTCTTCAAGGTGATAAAAGGTGAAAATGGACAACATGGAAAACCTGATGTCTTCAGCTATGGAAGCTGGAGAAGGTAACAAAGAGGTGAACAGCGATTTATTCAAATCAATCAATCATTTATCATATGAAAGTTTCATCAAGTTGAAAGTTAAAGACAATTATCCTGATATTTCTGATCGTCAATTCTCAAAGGCTTTCAACAAGATAATTGTAAAACCTGGTTTCACAACAATGGACGAAAGTTTTGAACGTTTTATTTACAATTGTTTATTGTGTGATCAATTAGCACATCGCCCAATGGTTTGTAGCGATTGTCAACATTGTTATTGTCGTACCTGTTCAAGTTTCCTTCATGTATTATTTCAAGCTCATTCAAATATTCAGCTAACAACAGATATAAATGTAAAAGGTTTCAAATTATCAAATCTTCAATTCTTCTGCCTGATCAATTCATGTGGTAATAATGGTGTATCCAAATTGAAACCTCTTTCTAATGAAAAAAGAAACGATTTACTTAAAATAAAAGTGAATTGTATTCGATTCAACTGTGATCTAAATGGAGATTACACTATGATGGATACTCATCTAAATATCTGTAGCAAAGGAAATAATTATCGTTTCGATGTTCGTGGTATCGCTGAAACATTTTTAAGAACAGAAAGTAATCCAGTCGAATTAGATCAAGAGTCATTATTATTCTGTGAAGCTCTTGGATCAACAGTTTATAACTGTAGCGAATTGGAAGCTATTTGGAAAGAAAAAGCGAATAACAATTTTACTTCAACTGGCGAAGATGAAACAATTTCACCTCATCAATCTGATTCCTCTTCTTCAAATTCATCAAAAAGATCATCAGATTCAGAGTCAACACAAGTTAAAAAGAAATTAACTCCATCGGAGTATTTACAAAAAAGGAAAAAGCAACAAATTGTAAATAAAATTATCTCATCTCAAGATTCAGAAGGAACTGAATCATCATCATCAACAATTAAAATACCAGAAATTAAACCAAGTTCATGGGAACTTTTATCTAATCGAATTGCTAATTTACGCAATCCTATTCAACCAGAAAATGAACCAGAAAACGAACCAGATATTGAAAAATTAATCAATGAAGATATCGAAAGAGAATTGAATATCGATTTAAGCGATTTTAATGAATCAACTTCTCAAATTGGTAAAACTGCCGCAAGACGTAGACGTCGACAAAATGCTGCTGCTCGAAAACGAGGAGATTTTTCAACAGTTATTCTTCCCCCAAAATTTATATTCAACAGACCAGAAAATGATAAAGGTCTAGATTGGAACGAAACCAATCAAAATGTAACAAACACCGAATCAAAAATTGATTCATCATTAACAACAACAACAATTGAAGTTCTTCCCCCTTGTTCATCATCAAAAGACACTGAACCTCAACCATCCACGTCCAAAGAACCACAACCAGTATTACAATTACCTTCTCCTCTTATCATCTCATCATCTCAACAATCAACATCATCATCACAACAATCAACCTCATCATCACAACAGTCAACATCATCAGCTGATGCAAACGTCAAAGTCGTTTCGGACTTTGTGTTTAGTGATCCGGTTAAATATAAACCAAATTCAATTAAACCGATTCGTTATACTGATGATGAAATTAAACTTATGAGAGAAAGTTCAACAAAGGATCGTGTTAAATATCGTCGAAGAAAAGCTTCGCTCGTCAACAAAAAATTGAAAGATAAACGTAAAAAGGTTTATCTAGAAAAATTAAGGAAAAAATCTGAACCCTCGAAATTAAACATGATACCACCTTCAAATTATATTGAGTTAATTACTCAAAATGTGCAACAATTAAAGAAAATGAATCTCAATGTTTGTGCAATTGACATTGAAAAGCAAACAATCACCATGAAAGATGGTTCAATGAGAAATGTTCCAGTTTGGATCTCAATTGTTGATCAATATAACAATTTAATTTACAATTCATTTGTCAAGAATCCAATTTCTGCCTCTCACCGTTTTAATGCTGAATTTCATGGATTATCTTGGAATGAAACTCAATGGGCACCAACATTTTATAAAGTTCGAATGGAAGTTTTGGAAATTTTAAGAAAATATGATCGAATTTTATTATCAGGTCACATAGCTGATTTTAGTGATTTATATCTAAGCCCTTTGGATCATTATCGTTTGCTGCCTCGAATTATTGATTTGTCACAATATTATAATTGTCGTACAAAGAAAAGCGCTACACTTGGACTCAAATACAGTGTATTCGTTTTATTTGGAAAAATTTTCCAAGATAATTATCATTCACCAATTATTGATTCAATTTATACAATGTGGTTATATCTTGTCGATTTTAATCAAATTGAAAAAGTCTTCAGAGAGGTGAGAAAAAGTCGACCGACTTTTATCTCTCAAGGATACCATGGGTATCATTGGCCAAAGAATTGGAATATGGGAGGACTAATCAAAGACATTCTCAAGCAAATAAAAGATTGGCCAGATTCATTCAAGATTCATCCCATGATGACTTATCAAGAAAAACAAGATAAAATGAGCCTTCAGAAATATTATTCTTCAGATTTTCTCGATGGTGAACCAAATGAAAAGAGACCAATTCCCTACAAGTACAATCAAAGTTTGTTCAAGGCCTACGAGCGTCCCTAGACCCATTTAAAGCCCTAAGTGACGCTTTGTGGGGGGGCTCTGTAAGGGAAATGCCTCTCTCACACTTTTCTTTCCCCCTTCGGTCATCACCTTTTCCTTATTGGACTCTCTCCCTTATATGTTAACCAATTACAATTAATCACCTTAGTATAAAAATCCTCTCTCACCTTAAACCAAATCACTGTTACAGATACATATACACAGTCAGTCATACACCTCAATTAATTATTCACCTATTGTTGTTACTCTCTTCAAATTACTCTTAGTCGTTTCCGACTTCCTCCTTTACCTTAGTTCCTAATTCTCACCTCAGTTTATCCTTGTACGTGCTTTCCACTCTGTTCAATAAATCTCTATTAAGTTGTCACATCTCAGTATCTATTCTCGCGTTGGCGCCAAAGTCGATCGACTCTGTGCACCTCGTTTGATGTTAATAGGCTGTACCGATCTCGGTTACAGGTTTTTTGTAAGTGGCTTTGCCTCATCTCTCGAGTTAAACTCAAAACACTTACATGATTTTCGCCTCTTAAAAGTTGATTGACAATTAACATCAACAATCAGACTCATTTCTAATTAACTAAAACCTTCAAATTTACCTCCAATGGTTCATTATTCACCACAATCATCCACTCACCATGACGACCATCACTCTCCCTCAGTAATTTAGTTTCAGTGATTGTTGATTATAACAATTGATTCAATTTACTTTTTCAATGAGAGTGAACAAAAAATTACACCCTAACGTTAGACAATTAACTAACTGTTGTTAATATAATCAATTGGAATCAATTAATTTATTTTCTCCTCCTACTGTTCACTAGTTAACCAAAGTTAGTTAGTTAATTCAGTTATCACAGTGTATATTTAATAGTTGATATCAACTACTGAATTAAAATTGCTCACCAAGAGGTTAAGAGATTTTCAGATTGTTCAACAATCAAACAAAACAATTACACTAACTAACACAATTCATATTAATTAATTTTCTCATAAATTGTTGCTATCATTATCTAATAATAATAGTAAAGTTAAATTGAGTTATTATCCTTCATTGTGAATGATTAACCAATCAAATTATGAATATATGAATGTTTGAAAAACTTAATTTACCTGTTAATCATAATTAGCGCTTTACTACAGCTTGACCAGTAACAATTAACTTTCTCTCTCCATAAAATTAAGTATGTGATTAGTGGAAACAATTAACTACAATTAAATCATCTGTAACATTAGAGGGAAAAATTTTCATTCGATTAGAGCAAAACTTTTGCCCATTTTAATTAACATGATTACGAACTTATTTCTCACTCAGAATCAATTAATAATAATTCTTATTACTTAATAATCGTAATAATTATCTCTTAATTATTAGCATTCCGATTAATATTAATCGTCAGATAAATTATCATTTCTAATTAGAAAGAGAAAATCAAATTGGAAAATTTTTTTCATCGTTAATTCATCAACCTCATGAACGATTCAGAGGAAATCATGATAACTAATGGTTACTAAGGAGAAATCAGAAAGTTTTCAGAAACTTAATTTAACTGTCATCTTGATTTCGTTACAATTCAATGACTCAACCTGAATACTGAACAATTTATAAACTGTAATGAAAGTGATATACAAAAAATTCATGATGATTATCATGAAAATGAAGCAACTTTATTCAGATGATTAATCAATTGTTTCAAAATGATTTTGAACAAGTTAATCTTTGACACTTTGTTGATTGTTTTCAACAGTTTCTAATCATATTATCTGAGTATATTAGTTAAGTGATTTAGTTCATTATGATGATGATTAGAGATGATGGTTCAAATAGATATTTAAAATTGCTGAGAAAAATTCAGCTTCTATTCAAATGATCATAATCATAATCATGAGGCTTAAAACTTTTCTATTTCGAATTGGTTTTTTTATCGGATTTCCAGCATTCTGACATTCTGAGGCTCTACTCATATTATCATGATCATCATGGTATGAATCAGGTTAGATCTTGTATATATGTGTATGTGTGTCTACTCAAAGGCTTTAGGTTGGATTAACTAAACTCATTATGATTGATTTTTGTTATATACTAAAGGGATTAAGTGATGATTATGTAAAGCATCATCATCTTCATCCTCATCAACATCAACTTTTAGTTTGAAAATGATCATGAAAAAAGAGGTTCAGTTATCTAGTTTATTCATAACTTAATCTAAAAACTCAGAAGCTCAGAAGTTAAACTTATGAAGGCAAAAAAATCTCTATGATTATGAAAAATTTGGGAAAAAAGAACATTGAAAATTGTTGTTGATTCCAATTCTGAATGTTGGTGAATTGAGATGATATAATTTACTATTTACATTAACTAACTGAAGGAATAAAGTTATCAGTTTTATTAGAGGAACAATTAACTCGGACACAATTAATACAACATTTATACTCTTGAGGTAGTTAAACTTGATTGGACAGAGTAAATTGTCAATTGGAACCATTATCATGATCATGATTAGATTTTTTCTCCATAACAATACCTTAAGGTGTTATTATTATTGTTTCCAATGATCAAAATTTCAATGTAATACAATAATGGACAATAATCATGATCACCAATTCTTAAGGTTCAGTTTTCATGGTGAAACTTTTACTTTTATTGATTTCTAAAAATGTTACTTATTAATTATTGAAGGAGAAGAAAAAAAATTCTGGTTCATTTCTGTTTCTTTCTGGTTCAGCTTGACCATTAATTAGTTTTCCTATTAATCTTACATTTAAATCATCATGTTGATGAGTTAAGATGAAGTTTGAAATTTTCTAAATAAAAATTTACTTTTACTAAACTTTTTCTCGAAAAGAAAAGTTCTAAGAGTCAAATCGATCGGGAAAAAGAAAAGTTTTTGCTTCGGTATTGATTATTTAATCTTCCATCATAAAAGATAATTAAAAGTGATATTAGATTATGAGTGGACATAATTAACTAAGCACCAGTTTATTGCAATCAACGATTAGAAAATTAAATCAAAAGAAATCATGATTTAGAGATGCAATCAAAAATTCACCCAAGGTATTCAAGGGTATGATTAATATTAATATCTCATTCTATTGATAATGATTGTTTATGATGCTAATTTTTGATTGATCATTTTTTTGCAAGTTTAATTAACTTATTATGAAGTAAAAAAACTCTTGATAATAATTGATTATCTCTTTTAATCCTCATCTCAAATTGTTAATTGTAAATATGAGTTGAATACTTAATCCAGATTAATATGAATTGATTACAATCAATGTACCTCTTGTTTATCCTAATCATCATCATGAGCAATAATTTGATCTGGTGATCAGTAAATAGTATTTACCTTGATAAGTTATCAAGAAAAAAAAATCAAAAAGTTGATTAAAGACAAACAACGAAAATAAATTCAATTAATTATGGTAAATGTGACCACGATTATCTAATAATATTAATTAGTGTTCGTGATTTGAATTGTGAGGGGGAGAAGATGAATTGAATAGCTCTAAATAATAATAGATAAACATGTATGGATATTTGGAAATGAATTTAGTATTATCATAACAAGAATAACATTTAGACTCTTAGCAATTGATAGCATTTCTTTAACTTCTAACCAACATTTCTCTTGACAGGAATTCTAAGTATTATTATCTCTCTATTGTTTACCTATCTTGTAAAAGTGAATAATGTGCTTCCTACTCATGATTATCTCCATCTTCCTGAATTTCCATTCTTCTGAAGTTCCAGGAAAACCAAAGCTTGTTATTCTGAATACTCTCTCTCTCTCTCTCTCTCTCTCTTTACCAGATACAATGAGATCATTAATATGTAAGGTGATTAAATAATAAGATGAACCTTTATACATAATAGAAATGATCATAATTAACTAATCATAGAAGTCATCATCAAATCTGAATATAATCAACTCTCTAATCAGAATGGACAAAGACAACCAAATCCAAAAATCTTTTGTTAATTTATCAATGGAAACAATTTAATCATCAATTGATTAAAGATAAATGAAAACTACAACATTAAAAAGGCTTAATCATTTCATGATAATGATTAACCACATAACCAAATTCATTATGATTTACAGTTTAGAAAACTATTAATACGTTTGAATTTTGCTTTTTTTGTAATCATCATGAATTTTATGATGATAAAACATGAATATAAAACAATATTAAAGATTAATGATTAATTTTTATTTCTGACTGTTGATATTATTGACATTAAATCAAAAAGATTCAAGTCCAACTATTACTTGGATTTTTATGATTATGAGTTTCCCTTCAATATATTGATATTTAATACTTTATTGTTTCCATGCTGTTGTCGGTGGTTATCATGATGATATCAACAACTGAATTAAATGAATTACCTTCATGGTGCAATTCATAAAATTTATCAATGTACTTTACAAGCCATTGAACTGACGAAATGAAATTGCTTTTGGTCACTTGTTTGGATATTGACCAAAGATGAAACTTGAGGAACAAAATTTCACAATCAAATTAGATACTAATAATAATCTTATGAGTATATGGACAATTCTGACAAGGAGAATATCTTTTTTTCCTGAGAATTTAAT